ACCCGAATTCGTGAAACTTTTCACGGTGACTAGTTTGGGATCCCGATCGGTCCATCGACGTATGATGTCACTTGTCAAATAAGTAGTATCACGGTATTGCATCAAGTTAACTAACTCCACCGATTTATCTGTTGGCCCTGAGGGACCCGCGTGCGACAACCGACTCAAGGCATCCGCCGTACAATTGTTAGAGCCTGGGATGTAAGGGATTGTGTATCCATACGCACTGAGGATTAGGGCCCATCGTTGCATTCTAGGTGAAAACATTTGGTGGATCCACTTGGATTCGCCCAATAAGGATATCAACGCTTTGTGGTTAGTTTGGATCTCAAAATGAAGAAGGAAGATGCTGGGGGCAAAGTTTATTCCGAAGCGAGACGAGTATACTGAAATAGTCCAAGATACGTAGTTATGGTGCTTAAATCGCGTAAGTCCTTGTCAAGTTCAACTTGAGAATATGCGTGACTAAGATCAAGCATAGCAAGCTTTTGACCACTGCATAACGTAGGGTACAAATCTTGGATGCGGGGCGAAAGATAACTTTCCATATTGGTAGCTTGATCGACCGTTAACTTACAGTATCCACAGATACGAAAGTTGCCGTCGGGTTTGAGTAAAGGAACAATTGAGACAGTCCAATCGGAGTGTTGTACGGGCATGATTACTCCTTCGGATTGCAGCAGTTGTGGTTCTACTTCAAGTTTGGGATGCATAGCGTTGGGTAATGTTGGTGCTTTGTAAACTTTGGCATTGGTATTATCCCGTAGATTGATGGAGGCTTTGAAATGTTTCAGCTTTCATAAATTATTTTCGAATAAAGAAGAAAATTGCTTCAACAGGTCGTTTGACCGCTTTCACCAATCACGACTTCATAACTCTGCATCGCTTCTGGGATGTATCGGATCCATTTGCTGCGCAAGCGATTTCATCTTTTCCCAGTTACTACGATCAAAGTTATAGTTGATTCCCGCTCGCCGTGCCTCAATTTAACCATGTGGCAGGTCCTTTAAATTAGGCGTTGCCTTTTCTCTTATACATCGATCTTACTATTTCTGCTGCGGATTTATCACTTACCACTTAGCTTTTTGACAGCTTCTTTTGTTATATTAGTTTCGAGGTCACTAACGCTATCCCTGCTAATTTTTATACATAGCCTTTGAGGTGCTGAACAAACCGTGCGAAGTTGCCGAGCGCGCTTCGCAATTTAAGAAATCCTCGTCCTGATCGAATGCAAACTCGGGATCCTTTATTTGATTGACACAAAAATCTTTAACGCTAGTTGTATAGTTATGCCTTTTTAATGATGTTATTTTAAAACATCCGCAGTGGATATTGTAAAATTCTGAATATATACCCTCTGGGGTATATAAAGCTTAAATGGACTTGACTTGATTTAACCTTAATCGGATCTCCTGTGTAAGTATGCAATTCGTAGCCACATATTTGTAAGGGGGTTAGACCCTTAATTGAATCACTGTTTATATTGGTAATTGTAGCCCCTGTATCCAGTGCCAAATCGATCGGTTCATTCTCGATCATCAAACAAATCTTGGATGGAGGGCATTGGTTGGGTGGTACGGTAATCAACTAGACGGAATTTAAATCTTGGCCTGGGTATTCCAGAATGTTTTTCTCGTAAGCGGTAGCTTATTATGGCGCCTAGATTGAGTGAGATTGGTTGGTGCGGCGGGTTCCGATCTGCACATGCAGGCTAGGTGGTCTATTTTACTATATTTTCGACAGTTGCTTTCCTTGTGGCGACAGTCAGAAAAACAAAAATGCTGCATCCTGCAGCGATAGCACACGAACTAATTTCGAGGTTCACCTGAAGTCTGTGGTTTAGCACCTGCGTGAATAGCGTCGACGACTGGATGGGCAGTGAATTCACCTTACTGGTGCGAGATATTCCCCATTTGGCTAACGATTAGACAGGCATTATCCTACGTGGTTCCTGACTCGTACAAAAATAACCATATCTCCCGTACACTTACTTTCAGAATTCCCGCAATTAA